AGAGGTAAAATCCCTTGGACACTCAGTCCGCAGGAGGAGCGGGAAAATGTTTCAAGTACCCGGTTGTGATTCTTCTCACTCTGTATCATGCCCTCGGTCTTCGCGACCTAACCCCGCATTAGCGGCGGCGGCTGAGCGCCCTCCGGGCCGGGCCGTGCCGCGTGAATCTCTGGGCTCCCCTCCTTCTACTCTGCAAAGTCTCTTGAGCGTGAGAACCTGGCGGGAGCCAGGCGAGCCCTTCGCGGGGAGCTGGGGACCCGCCCGTCTGCCCGCATCTACCTATGAGCTGTTCACTTTACACGAAATAAATTGTAGGTCTTTTCGAGTGAAGGCTGCTTCTTTTCAAAATTAAACCCATTTGTCGTCAAACATTCACGAAGATCAACCTTTTCTTTTTTAAAAGAACCAAAGAAAGATAATATCTCCAGGTAACTTTATGTCTATTTATTAACAGGTTGCCGGTTTTCCATGGTTCTAGGGGAAACTATTAAGTGATACCAGGTTCCTGGGCGCAAAGCCAGAGAAGTTTCGGCTCCTGGGGTCCTCAGACCTCTGCACCCTCGCCCCGCCCTTCCCCTCGCCATATCCCAGAGGCTCTCCTCTAAGGGAGTTCTTTGAACAAAAGGGTGGGGCCCAGAGAGAGGGGAAGAAATGCAACAAAAGTAAGAGAAGTGATTCAGCGCCGCGGGTTAAAGCCAGGTTGGAAAGAAACCTGTCAGGCACATTTCAGGGTGGCCAAGATGCCACCAAAATGTTCGGCTTTGGTTTAAGTTGGAGAATGAGGAGAGCGGAGGGCAAAGGCGACTCAGGGTCAGCAAGCATCTAGGGGTTTGAGAGCTGTCAAGGGGGAGTGAGCTGGAGCGCTGAAGGCGCATCAGCTTCTGGCGCTGGGCACATACTTGGGTGCACTGAGGTCGCGCCCCTCCCTGGAAGAGGCCAGGGACGAGGGCCTGAAGATCTTTCCGCTGCCTCCAGAATTTTATTTCCCAGAGCCACGCCCAAAGCAAAAGGTGGTACCTTTTTCTGAGGAGTCAAACTTTGCATTCACTTTTGGAAAAAACCCCAGATAAATAGAAACACAGGCGCAGAGCAAACATCCTCTCAAAATTAGCCCTACTCTCGTGTTCTGGAGTTCTTTGACATTTTTTAACCCAGATTAAGTCATAAAGTGCCTTTCTGGGCTATAGAATCCGCAAAAAGGAACTCCTGGATTTGCTCTTAAAAGGCAAGTTAGATTTTGTTCTGATTTAATTAGCTTCCTAGTCCATATTGCAAGCAAACATTAACCGAGATGCTCATTAAGAAGTTTAAATATGACCTCATAATTACTTTGGCCTGAAGCTCACTACTGTAATCTCCCAGCCTCCCTGCTTGCTGTACACGTTAGGATCCCTTCAGAACTCCTGTAGCAAAACTGTCTTGTCCTTTGCTCAGACGCCTGCACATTTGTGAACTAACCTTCAGACAAGCGTGCTGGCTGGTCTTTCATGTCGCGTTACGAGGTGCCAACTAGCCCAGCCCCGGGGGCGTCATCAGGGGTTCTGAACCTGAGATGCCCCACCCTATCGCTGTCAGGGGGCATTCCCCTGCATTACCCATTCTCAACTTCTTGGGTCTCACAGGGACTTTTTATAAAAGTGTGAGACTCAGAGGAACTCCCTCCCCTGGCCTCATTCTGTGAGGTCATCTGGGGGTCAGGGCAACCCTTCCCATCCTCTTTCTGCGCACATAACTGAGAAAGTGCTTGATTTGGGCTTTTCCTTTGCCAACTTCGAAGTTACACCAGAAGCCTAGGCCCTTTCCTCGCTGCTTGAAGGAGCAAAGTTCCAGGGGGCCTGGATCACCCTAGCTCCAGCGACTGCGGGTGATATCACCCTTCAGACCTCGGAAATCAGGCGGCGGGAACCTACTTGGTGAAAAGGGCAAGCCCCAGCCGAGGTGCGACGCTGGTGACGATTAAACCAGGTGACAAGACACTAGGCAGATGTGTTTTCATTGCTCGGTAAGATAAATGCTGAATTAAGTGCCTGACAACTTCCCAGAAGCAATCAGCAAAAGTTTACGAGTGCATAAACCTCAAAGACCATTCCCGAGGGTTGTTGGAAGCTCTGCATTTAAAGCTTCTATAAATTCTTCCATCATTTCCCAAAGCAAAGTTTCCAGCGACTATTAAGCAGCCACCTTCTCCGAGGAGACTGCGGGGATTTGCTGGAACTTCACAAGGAAAAGTTCCACTAAAGTTTGTTGCAGGTGTTCTGACGGCTGCGGAGGGGGCAGGAAGGGCGGGAGGACGGCGTGGAGGTGGGGTCTGGGAAGGGCTGGGAAGGCGCCCGGTGCCACCAGGACGTCGGTACAGCCCGGCAGGCGGCGCCGTTCCCGCCCTCGGGGGTCCGCTCTGCGAAGCCAGCCCAGCCCGACATGGCCCCACGTGGCGTCCACAGCTAAACCCCGCGCTGCCACCCTGAGGGGGCGGCGCCGGACCTTTGCCCTTCCAGAGTCCACTCTGCGACGCGCAGGACTCAGGGGCCGGGTGGAAAGTGTCAGCCCGAGAAAGGCCGGCTGGAGAACGGAGGCACCGACGGGGGACGAGTGGAGAGAGGGCTCTTTGTACCGAAGGCTTGGATAAGTTAGGATCCAGCATTCTCGTCCCACCTCTGTCTTAGAGAGAATCTGTTTACGATCCTAGTGAAAACAAAGCTGCTAATTGAAAAACAATAACAGGAGCGTGTCTTTAGCATCCTAAAGGGAGAGGTTAACAGCTGCGAGCTCAGGGGAAGGTAGAAGGAGGGAGGGGGAGGAGGGCAGCGGTGAGCCTGCTGCTGCAAAGATAGGAAGGCGCCTTTGGGTCCCAGCGAGACACCTGGGCCGGCTCCAGTCTGCAGACCCTCCCTCCAGCTTGAGTCCCTGGGAGGACAGCTTCCCGCAGCTCCCGCTCCTTCTCAAGTTTTGAGCTCCAGTAAATCCAAAGGTGCAGAGGTGACCCAGGTCTGAGAGGTGTCCCTGTCGCCGCGACAGGGACAATCACTTTGAAAGGATGCCGCTGGGCGCCTTTCATTCTCTCCAGGTGAAAAGGCGGACGCTTCTCAGTTGCCCTTCCTCTTCCTTTTATGAAATCAGGCGCCCAACTGTTCGGATATTACCATTCAAAAACAGGTTCTGTGGCGAACCTCATTTGTGAATCTATTACAGAGATTAATAGATTATTTCTCCTTTTTCAACTAATTCTCAGTGGGGAAATTTAACCATATGGTAAGGAGAGAATTAGAATTTCATCACATTAGAGCAAAATGTAATGAAAAGAGTCCAACACCTGGGGCCAACTCGGAGAAGCACAATTAAAAGGTTTTTAAATGAAACCAGAGAACCCAAAAAATTTTATAGCCTTCGGTAATTCTGCCACAGAGGAAAGATTTACTGGAGGTGTTGGGAAATATTATTTTCACTTGTATCATAAGTAAGGATGAAAACCAGCCGCTAAATGCCAGGTGCTACCAAAGGCTGCAATGAGGGGTGAGGAGATGGCGGGGACCCCTTAACTCGTTTTCCCTATTCTCTAACTGGCCTTCTGAGAACCACCGAGGCAAAAGCAGAGGTCCTGGAAAGGCTACCGAGCTGTGACGCTTACGTTTCCGGGTAAATAAATATGCAAAAACGTCCTGCCATATGGAGCAGACGATGTAACTCTTGGCCAAGTTGACAATTTCGAAACAACTGGATTTGAATCTTGAAGAAAGTTTGCAAAACCCGTTTCTTCGGCTGTGAAGAAGCCGTGTGTTTCATTATCACCACCACTATCGTAATTATTGGCAGAAGACTGCAGATATAACCCCTCCTCCCCAAGATCTAATGGGCTGCATAATCAACTCGCCTTTTTTTTCATTCGGGTAGGAAATGGGGAGCAGTAGGTGGAAATAGGCAATGTATATCCAGTTTGAAGTCCTGATGCCTTTGTCGCTAGCTAAAGATCTAGGGTGAATTTTGGGCAAGTCAGCGGGGGTACCACCTTCCCACCCCCGGGCGAGTTCCATCCTCAAGTCCAAACCCAAGTCCTCACGCGAATGTGGGTGGAGTACAATTCCCTCTCTGGGAAGAGCAGCTGAGCACAGGCTGACAGCAGAGGCAAGGGCAGGGCCGTGGGGGTGGGGTGGGGTGCGGTGGATGGGGGCGTTAGCTTTCCACGGGACTCCCAGGCTTCGCTGCAGAGCTACAATTTGCTGAAGGAGCAAAGAACATCCTCAGCTCTAAGTAGGGCTTTTAGTGTGCTCATTGATGAGTGAAAGTCGCCACACATGTCAAGCTAAAGGCAGTTGTTGGGTTACTAACAGGACCCAGCGCCTTGCAAACATATGCGCTAAGCTGTGTATACAGATGGCAGGCAGAATAATGGAGCAGGCGCCTTTTATAAAGCTCTAGCTGCTGCCTGTCTTCAGACCTGGGAAATGAAACTATTCAGACTCGCGGCCAGCTAGCGCCTGCGATTGTTTGTTACCGTTTTAATCCTATTAATTAAAACGTTAACCTGATTGGGTAGAAAGGCGCTGTCCCAACAGGCGAGTCTTCTTCATAATAACCTACTCAGAGATAATGATGTAAAAGACTCCCCCGTCTGTGGCGGCGGCTGGTTGATGGGTCTGGAAATCTCTTGAAGGTGAATCCAAGCAAGATAAACGGTGCGGAGAGGAGGCGCCGGGCTGAGCTCCGCGCGGCGGCGGCGGCTCGACTCCCTGCGCGCCCACACTCCCACCATGCGGGGCCGCGGCCCATGGTGAGCCCCAGCAACCAGCACCATCGGCTGGAGACGAAGAAGAAGAAGAAGAGGAGGCGGCGAGCGCGGGGGAAGGCGAAAAAGAAAAAGAAAGAAGGGGAGAGGGCTGCCGGCAGCGCGGGGACCGACGCGCGCACCAGCGCCGGAGCCCGGCTCCAGCGCGTCCGCGGCGCCGCCTGACTTCCGAGCCCGGGCGGCGGGAGCGGGCGGCCGGGCTGCGCGCAGGGGCCGGACCATGGAGCGCGGGCTGCACCTCGGCGCAGCCGCTGCGGGCGGCGAAGACGACCTCTACCTGCACAAGAGCCTAGGCGCAGCCACCGCCAAGCGCCTGGAAGCGGCTTTCCGCTCCACGCCCCCGGGCATGGACCTGTCCCTGGCGCCGCCGCCTCGGGAGCGCCCGGCGTCCTCCTCCTCGTCACCCTTGGGCTGTTTCGAGCCGGCTGACCCCGAGGGGGCAGGGCTCCTGCTGCCGCCGCCCGGAGGCGGCGGGGGCGCGGGAGGCGGCGGCGGCGGCGGCGGAGTGGGCGTCCCCGGGCTGCTGGTGGGCTCTGCCGGCGTAGGGGGCGACCCTAACCTCAGCAACCTCCCGGCCGGGGCCGCCTTGTGCCTCAAGTACGGCGAGAGCGCCGGCCGGGGCTCGGTGGCCGAGAGCAGCGGCGGCGAGCAGAGCCCCGACGACGACAGCGACGGGCGCTGCGAGCTGGTACTGCGGGCCGGGGGCGCGGACCCGCGGGCCTCTCCGGGCGCGGGTGGCGGCGGCACCAAGGCGGCCGAGGGCTGCTCCAACGCCCACCTCCACACCGGCGCCAGCGTGCCCCCGGGGGGCCCGGGCGGCGGGGGAGGCGGCAGCGGCGGCGGCGGGGGCAGCAGCAAGAAATCCAAAGAGCAGAAAGCGCTGCGGCTCAACATCAACGCCCGCGAGCGTCGGCGGATGCACGACCTGAACGACGCGCTGGACGAGCTGCGCGCGGTCATCCCATACGCGCACAGCCCCTCGGTGCGGAAGCTCTCCAAGATCGCCACGCTGCTGCTCGCCAAGAACTACATCCTCATGCAGGCGCAGGCCCTCGAGGAGATGCGGCGCCTGGTCGCCTATCTCAACCAGGGCCAGGCCATCTCGGCCGCCTCCCTGCCCAGCTCGGCAGCTGCAGCGGCCGCGGCAGCCGCCCTGCACCCCGCGCTCGGCGCCTACGAGCAGGCGGCCGGCTACCCGTTCAGCGCCGGGCTGCCCCCCGCTGCCTCCTGCCCGGAGAAGTGCGCCCTGTTCAACAGCGTCTCCTCCAGCCTCTGCAAACAGTGCACGGAGAAGCCTTAAAACACCACCCCGAAAGACGCGACGCTGACCCCAAAGCTAGAGAAAAGCTCAGAGCTGTCCCTGCCCCACTGTTTTTGACCCTCTCCTCCTTGCGAACCTTCTTGCAGAGAAAAACAAAGCAGAGGCGAAAACTGAGCAGAAGTATCAGAGACAGAACTTTTAGCCTTGATGCCCCCAAATCTCGGTTTTTGGTGTGGGGAGGGTGGGGTGAGGGAGTTGGGAAGGAATCTGGATTATTTTTTTTTCTCAGAAAAGTGACAACTTTGGTGGCAGTCGAGACCACAGGAAGCTAAGTCTTCCTTTATGTTGAAAAATAAGTTGAGAAGTAGTAGCTTTGTTCTTAAGTCCTGGAGAGTGTAAAATGGCAACATACTAATCTTACTAATACTTATGGATTTGGCTTATTGGCGAGGGGAGGGAGAGAAGTCTGGGTTGGGTGGCATGTCATATCGGAGGAAATACTCATTCAGACAAATCAGAAAGGGCACTTGAAAATAAATTTTGATTCTGAGCCAGGATAAAAACTTGAAATATAGACTTATTTAAGTAAAGGGGGGGAAATACAACACAAAAACCAGAGAGAGAGAGAGCTTGCTATGAAAGACTTGTATTTTTTATTGTCTCTGAACTTTAATCCTGTGGAAATGCTCAAAAGTTTGGCGAGAGTGATATAAAAATTGACTGTGGCTGAAAGAATTGCATTTAAAAATATTTATGTGCACCTTGTTCCTTTCCACTTTGCAATGATGTATAACAATTCATGGTATTTATTTGTTAATCTTCAATGACCCTTCCACATCAACAGTATTTATCATGTGTTAAGGTCTTATGTGCAGATTTTTTAATGCCTCTAAAATTCTGTTTTATAGATTAACTTATACTGTGTACCAAGTGTTTAAAAGGTTTATTTGCCAACAAGTATGAAGAGAAATATTGATGTATCTTAGCTGTTTAGGTTTATGAAAGATCACCTGGATACTTTCAGTTGCATCATCCTGTATTTAAATTGAGCTTTAATAAATTGCTTCAGTCCAAAAATTACAGGAAAGGTGTATTCTTAATTGATGAATGAATTGATCTCTTTTTTGAAAGGGGACTCCTTTGCATTCTAAAAGGGAAAGATCACAGCAATAGATCCTGTAAGTAACAACATAACTAAGCAAATATTGTTCAGGCTGTGCTGTGCATTTTTAAAAGGTCTAATTTAATTGCTTTTAATATATATCTATAAATATATATATAAATAAATATAAGTTATTTTAACTGTGGAGAATTATTTAAGTTAAAAGACTGGTTTGATTTGCCTATGGTGTAAAACTCTTTGTTATTTTTCTAAAAAAAAGAAAATTTAAGAAGAAAAAACTGAGGAAGAGCAAGAAGCTATTTATACAAAGTGAGCTTTCAGTTTTAGTTTGCATGGCTCTCTGCCTGCCTTTCTCTCCTATAAAAGTCAAGAAAACCTTTTTTGAAAACGGAGTCCTACTGTTTTCCATTCCTTGCAGATAATACAAATTCTGTTTGTGAGGTTTGATGGCGAGTTTTGAGCTGTGATGGATCTCTTGGTGGATTTTGGATGTGTAAAGAATGACATATATATTAAATAGGTCAATCAGACTATGACAGCTATGTATGACCATTTGTATGTGTATCTCTGTCAGAAAGAATCTTTATTAAAATATTTTGATCAAACATTTTATTATGCTGTGCTTTGTGGACAGAGTAATCCGGTGTTACCTTTGGCTTGGAAAGTGAGAAAGAAAGGAGCTGGAAAGAAGATGGAACTTACCTTTTGGCAAAGATGCACATTAAGGAGCATTAGTCACAGCAGTAACTTTAACTGGGTAACAGAACATTGGTTGGGCCTGTTTCTTGGATGAGAGCAGCAATGGGTCAGTTCTCAGACCCAAAGGCTGTTGGGAGGTCTTGGCCTTTTATGAGCTTGGAAGGCCTTGTACTCCCTGGATGTTCTTTCCCCACTTGGTATGCTCTTGTGAAGCACAACAGGGCCCACAAAGAGGTTAAAGTTTCTTCAAGAGTTTGAATCAAAATCTCTACCTCCAACTAACTGCCTGAAGGCCAAGGAAGAGTTTAATTTGGATCCTCTGAGCTCTAGCTTTAGTGTGACTTTCCTTTTTTTTTTTTTAAAGAAAAAAGTTCATTCTTATTTTTCTTGTGACAGAGTATCAATTAGTTTGAATTAAAAGTGTAAACAATGACCACAGAGATTACTCAACTTTCCAGTTTTGCTTATTAGTGGGATTTTTAGGGACTATGTCACATTGGGTTGGATACTTAATTCTATTACAGATGCTTGTTCTTGGACCTTAATAACAGCCCTCAAATGTTGACATTTATATTTTTTATTGAAGGATGTAGCTGTGGTGGTAGTTCTGATGATGATGATGGTTATTGTGTTTCTGCCATGTCCAGCACGTTAAATGCATTTTTGTCTGTATAGTCTTAGCTAGTAATGATAGCCCTAAATGCCATCAAACTTGGTAGGGGGTGATGAGGGATATTTTCCGCTCCACTTGCCATCAAAAAGGATTCATCAGAACCTGTAACTTTTCAGAAAACATAACAGCAAAAGGCCTTGAAGCTGAAGCCCTCCCTCACTGGTGGTTGGGGGTGGAGGAGGGGAGAGGCCAGGGTAGCCCCCAGGCTGGAAGAGACCCGTCTCTCAGCATTTACCAGACAAAGCCTGGGTGCGTCTAATTATGATTATTAAAACAATTTCCATGACGATGTCTAATATTATGTTAATTTGAAAACAACTGTGTATGAAAACTGTCTACTATAATACCTAAATTCATTTAATGAAACACATCGTTAAGGCAATTAAACCTCCTGGATGTGATTAAGAAACATAATTACGACACTGTTCTGCACCATAATTGGGTGTCTTTAATCAAGGGGTAAAGTGATCAGCAACACAGCCATTAGTTTGTATTGTTCTGGCCCTGCTGTCCATCATTCTGATTAGAAATTAGCCACAGCCACCACCACCACCACCACCACCGATTCCCCCCTCCCTCTTTCACATAGTAACATCTTAGGAGGCATGTTGCAAGATATCCTTTTAGTATATCTCATCATTAAGAAAGCGTCCTTGAAATACTTCCCTGGTATTCCTCCCAACTGTTTGACTAGTATTAAAAATTGCACAGAACAAAGTAGCCTGAAACTTTGGGAGCAAAATAGATGTGCACCTTCAGCTCTGCTCAGGGTCTTAGTCTTAAAATGGATGTGGGCCAGAGGAGGGAAGGCTGAGCTGAAACTGGAATGTCAGAGGAATAGGTACAATGATCAAAAATAGCAGGAGAAAAAAAAATAGCAGGAGCAATAATATTTCTTTCATTTTAACAATTGCCAGCAAATTAAACTTTTTTTTTCTCCTCCAGATGAGAAGTTGGTCAGCCTGTGGCTCTTGAGAGACACTGGAAATGTGCAGGGAATTGGAGAGTGGATTTCAGGGACCTACTTCCTTCCCTAACCTCAAAGTTTCTGCATATCAGCTTGAAGAAGGAATCCAGTAAGTGCACAGAGAGACACCTCTTCCTGTGCCTAGCAAACACCTTCTAGCTTCAGGCTTTCCCCTGCGGTTTGAGCTCTGCGTTTCAGCTTATTCTGGAGAGCCTCACACACATGGGTCTGAATGCCCTGGGTGGTTTGGAGCACCCACATCTGGTCCAGGTCTGAGCACCAGTGTAGATTTTCTCTGCAAGTCTCCTGGTCCCCAAGGATCCCAGAATCCTTGGTTCTTGAACTTGTTCTGCCACCTTGAGGGATTCTACCAGCACTGCGGATCTAGTCCCCTTGGGCCATGCTCCTTAGGGAGCTGCGAGTGAGCAGATGGGACCAGGTGAGAACTCAGGGCCTCATTTGTCCCACCTTCTTAGGTGGAAGCTTGGCACAACTGAAGCTTTGCATTTAGTTGTACAGAAACATTTGCACATGGTCATCTTGGATGAGCTCTCTCTAGCCAACAATTTCTCTGTGTGTGGTGCATGTAAGTGTGTGTGCACACGTCCTTAAATATACTCTCCACTCTCTGCAGCTGGACATTACCTCCAAGGCCTTGTGTGGCTTTTCAATGCCCCTCTGTCCTACCTCTCTCACAGCCCAGGCTGCCTTGACTGCAAAGGAGAGTGGACCCAGCAGAGGAAGGGGCTTGACAGTCAGCCCTTTGGCAAGCATTTCTGGTCCAGGCCAGGGGAACTAAATCTTTCTAGGCGCCTGAGATCCTATGATAGCTCCAGCTTGAGTGGCACTGGCATTTCCAATGTAATGGCTTATGGAAGATATAATCATGTGTTAAATTGAATCCTCCGTTTAACTGTTAATGGTGTGCTCTGGGCACATTTATGTATCAGATGCTATGGTAACTAATTACCACTAGGAAAAAGGATAATACACTTTTCAGACTTCGAAAAAGAATGATGAGAGTTCACATGCAGGAGTGGCCCCTGGCCTGTGCAGCGAGGTATTGAAGGGAATAAAAAGGGTGCATTTGGAAGGTGGCAGAGGGTGCGCTCTGGTCCACAGAGGTTCCCTAGTGAAATCTTACTTGAAAAGGTGGTTCCAGTGGGGATGGGAGGGCAAGGGGTCAACTACACAAAGATGCCGCTAAACAAAATCACAAATGCCTAAAACATCAGAAATAAAAATGCGTTTCATTACAAATGCAGGGCAGACTAAAATTATCCACGTGTCAAGGAGTTTTTTCGTCAATTAACATTTGGTGGTGGCGGTTTTGGTGTGCGGACTGAGCATGGCTGCGCGCTCTGCGCTCCTGGATGCGCCCTGTTAGTGAGGTGCAGGTTGATGGAAGCTCACTTCTGGAAATCCAACATGAGGCACAGCTGATGGAAGAATGAGACAGGAAAGCCAGAGGAAGTTACTCGTGTTGAGAGAAATTCTCTCCGGGTGAGAGTCTTTCCCCACCCACGCCGCACTTCTAGTTCCTTGTTCTTGGGGGGGATTACTAGAACCGCAGTTCT